GATATATTGACAATCTGGCAAGTGCATTTTTGGCTCTGGTTGCCCTGTACTTATTTCATAAAATAGAAAGTCTATTAGGAAGATATTAGAGTTTTAATTATAATATGGGCACTCTTTCATTTTGTTACACACTAGCAATTCCCAATAACTCTAATGGAAATCATCCAGTGTCAACAAAAGGAGAATGCACCTTAGAAGCTAACTGTCGTTTAAAGCCAAATACCAAACATGTCAAGGAAATGAAGTTTCTGGGAAGTAATCAAATAAAAGAGTTTTGACTGAAAATATGAAATGCAAGAGCTATTGACTGCTTTGCCTCATAATATTTGCACATTTTTAAAAACTACCTTAATTAAGTCAAACTGTATGGTAATTAACTTATACTTTCTCTTACAGCAACCAATAGCACACGGTTATAATTCGGTATGCTTGAAAAAGAAAGCAAACCTTCCGGGTTTCGGCATTTGCCATGGTGGTTGCTTTCTCCCACAGCTCCGGGAGACAGCCACCAGAGCCCGCAGTTGGGAGGGGGCACAATGGTGCACGCCACCCCTGGAGCCCTCACGTTGGGCTCCCAGCCATGGGGCGCTAGAGAGCACTTTCCCCGGCAACCCTGCCGGCGAACGGGGGCTAATCCATGCCCCGAAGGGCATGCAGAGCGTCCTGAATGGGAACTGCAGAGCGTCCTGAATGGGAACTAGAAATTGCATACCGGAGCAAGCGTTTTGTGGCCAAGCGAATTGAAAACAAAAGCGGAATTATCGTTGAAATGTGAGTTAATATCTAAGTGAGAAACACAGAAGAACTAGCTGAAAACCTCCCCTTTGAAAGCGAGGGGAGGAGGGAACTCTCCCCCACTAAGAAAAACTAAGCAAACTTTGAGCTACTATGAAAAGGGGGGTGGGCTAATGAAGCAAGATGGATTGAAATAAAGAGCATTTAAGAACTTACCAGGCAGATTTAAGAGTACCAGAGACTGCGATAACTTTTATAAAAAGTAAACAATTCCCAAACATGGTGCCCACGAGGAAGGATGAGAAAGACAAGCAAGTGAAATCTAAGCTTCTTTCTGAAACTACCAGCCCAGCGAGTTCTGTGCCTAGACAGCACACAACTACAGAGCTGCAAAAGACGTTGACTGTAGCTTTGCACCCTCTGCTGGAACAAGTTACTGCATTGCATCACAAGTTTGATGCACAGCGAACCCAACTAACTGAGATAGCTAAAAAAAACAGATAAAACTGAGCAAGAACTGAAAGAAGTGGATGCCAACACCAAGAAGCTTAAAAAACAACTGCAGGTGATGGAGAATGCACCCTAAACGCACCCCTGCGTGTGACGATTGTCTGCGCCTCTGCCACACTGCTATCCACTGGCAGCTGCTGGTAGGCCTGGGCGAGGTTGAGCTTTGCAAAGATTTGGCCCCCTGCTAGTGATGCCAGGATATGGCTAATCAATGGTACAGGGTATGCATGCTGCTGCAGGGCTTTATTAATTGTACATTTATAATCTGCACAAATACGAATGGAACCATCCAATTTGACAGGAGTCACAATGGGCATTTCCCAGTTGGCATGTGAGACTGGCTCCAGCACTCCCTGAGCAACCAGTTTGTCCAGTTCCTCCTCTATGCAAGGCTTAAGGGAAATAGGAACAGTCCGGGCCTTCAGCCAGATGGGCGCTACTGTGGGGTCCAGATCAACTGTCACGGGCGGACCCGTATACTTGCCCAGAGACCCATCGAATACCGCTGTAAACTCTTTGCCGATAGAGTCTAGGTCAGGGTGTGATGACACCTGGTTGACCCCTGTGACCGCTATCCCTGGGGCATCAAACCAGCCCAGCCCCAGCAAACTGGCCCTCCTCCCTTAACGCTACAAGGAGACCTAATGTTCCCTTGAAGCCTTTGAACTGTACCTCAAACTGCGCCGTGCCCGCCACCGAAATCCATCGACCTTGGAAGTCGGACAGGTGCACCCGGCTGGGCTGTAGACGGCGCTGACTCCTCTGGGGAAACAGCTGTTGGAGCATCTCAGTGGAGATGATGGACAACACTGACCCAGAGTTGACCTCCATTTCGCATGGCTTTCTTGGTCCTCGATCCGGTGTTCAGGATGGTCAATGGGCAGGAACAACAAGCTGTCAGATGGCAGTCAGCAGACCTCGCATTGTCCTCGCCTCGAGCCTGGCGGTATGCCCATAGAGACGGTGGTGGTGATTTCTTTTTGTGGGCGGCGCGACACACTCTGGCCAAATGGCCCCGGTTGTCACAGGCCCGGCATTTGACATCCCGAGCCCAACAACGGTCTTGATTGTGGTCGCTGCCACACCTAACACAGGATCACTTCTGTGACGGATTGTCAGGCACCTTTTTCTGAATCGCGAACCTGGTCTTGTGGACCTCGTCGGCCTCGGCCTCTGACTCCTCGGCTGACTCATGATGCACTGACTTGTCGAGCTTTTGTGGGGTCAGGCTGCTGGCCTGTTGCACCTCTCACATTGACCATTCTGCAGCCTCTGCAGCGATGGCTTCTGTGTAGGCCACAGCGTATGTGAGTGCCGTCTTGGTGAACAGCCGCTGCTGTAATCTCTTGTCCCGTAGATCGCAGACCAACTGGTTGAGGAGTGTCGCCTCTAGGTTGGGAAAGATGCACAGCCGGGCAGCCTTCCGCAGTGCCGTGACATAGTTGGCAATCGCTTCACCTGTGGCCTGATCACGCTTGTAAAAAGCATGCCGGCAGGCAATCTGCGAAGGCTGAGGTGAAAAGTTATTCTTTAGCTTAGTTTTGATGCTATCCAGGGTCACCATCAGGATGTCATCTGGGGCCACAAGGGACCGGGCTACATCGAAGACAGCCCTTCCACAAGAGCTGAGGAGCATTGCCATTTTCGTAGCCTCAACCTCGATCTTGTTGGCGCACAGATGGAACTCGAACCGAGTGATGTACGAGTCCCAATCCTGCAGCCCCAGCTCGAAGGCATCAAACTTGGTGTTGATGGCCATCATGGGTCTCGGTACAGCCAGTGGAGCGACTGGTGTGACCACCGGGTTGTCTGGGTGTTGGTCGTTTTCCCTCGGTCCCTCAGGAAGCTCTTGTTCGTCAGCCATTGTGGCGTTGATCCAGCAGGGCTGCCTACCTGCTCAGGATCCCATTCTCGTCACCAGAGAAGTGAATCAGGCTCAGGCAGCTCTTAACCAAGTGATTTCAACTTTATTAACAAGAACGATCCAACAACAACAATATGGGAGCTTAGAGCTCATTTTAAACATCCTGGGCTGGGAAAGCCACGCCCAGTAAAATGGTAAGAACTAATCATATTTACATGATAAAGACCAATAGAATTCATTCCCTCCACACATGCCTCTATGTTTTGATTGGCCTGCTGTCAGAAGCAGCCAATCGGAATGTGCAGTTCAGGATACCAGAGTCCCTATGAGCCTCAGACTGAAGCTCAGCATGTAGTCCATAGTTCAATACATAACAACTTAACTTCTAGAAGGAGCTTGCATGTAACTGCTTAAACTGTGTTTTTGTAAAAAGCTGATTGCATTTGATGGGGCTGTGAGGGGACTCTCTGCTCTGAACCGAATATGCTGCCCCTTTAAACTGGCTGGAGATTCTCCAGTGCAAACTCTCTCTCTCTCTCTGCTAATGTTTCTCCACTTGCTTCTAAGACGGCCTGCCTGCTTTGCTCTATTTCTTGTAAAATGGGCTCCCCGGTCTGTCAGGGAAACTGCTTTGGAAGGGTCTGTGCTAGGGCTGCCAAGTCTCGTTGAATCACGGTTGGGGATTGTCATTCTTTACAGGGAGCTCTGCCGTGGGGGACGGCAACAGGCGTTGCACCGCCGTCGCCAGTATGTGACGCTACGCGTCGCTCTGGCAACGGGACTCCAAACAGCCCCGTTGCCAGAGCGACACGTAGCGTCACATCCTGGCGACGGCGGTGCAATGCCTGTTGCCGTCCCCCATGGCAGAGCTCCTGTAAAGAATGACGATCCCCGACTGCGATTCAACGAGACTTGGCAGCCTTAGTCTGTGCAGTCTCTCTCTCTTTCTGGGTCTTGGGAAATGGTTGCTTTGCTCTGGGGCTTGCCTTTTAAAGGGGATACTTTCCCCCCTCTCTCCAGTAATGGAGGGAAACACAAGCCTTTTGGGGAAGGGGCACACTTGCAAGCCCTGGGTGCTTTGCTCTGGGGGCTTAGAAAGGGGAAAACTGTCTGGATGGAGTGGAGGCTCAGAGAACCATCTGCCTTGGGGGAGGGTGAGCTTCTCACACAGTCATTTCTGCATTAAACACTGTTTGCAAAAGCACTCCTTCCCTCGTACAAAAAACACAGAGGTTTGCCATTTCTCTGTTTCAAAAATACAACCTTGCAATAAGCATACACTCACACAAACTCCAGCCATTTCTCTTTTAGACTCATCCACCCTCCTGCTGTACAAAAAGAAATGGCACCCATTTTCCCCAGCCTCCTTCTTCCCCGCAGTCCCTCCACACAGCCCTAACTCCTCCTCCTTCTCCATTTTCCATTGGACAGCAGCTCAGCCAATAGGGGGAAAGCTGGAGGAGGGGTGGGACTTCTGGGAGGGAGGGAGAGTGGAGGGAAGGCAGGACTTCTGGCTGTGGGGGGAGAACTTCGACATTTCTGATTTTGACAGGTGGTATATCCTACACTACCCAAATGTTAAGATGCCCTGCATGTGTATGTGTTATGAAGTTCATCTATACCACATTTTCTTTCAAAAGGAGTGCAAAAGGATATATAAATATTTTTCTCTAGATATAAATAGATATTACAATATATACTTGGAGATCATTTTGGGCTGGAGTGTGGGTGGAACGGAAGCCCCATTCCACTTATAGGAATTCCTTCTGTCAGCGAAGCTTTAACACAGGATTCCAAGTACATATGACCTTGTAAGCCAATGAATTTATTCCACATGTTTTAGTTTGAACAACAACAGCTTGCAGTTCTTTCTAAACTTTATAGAGTTTACCTTTTTCACAGAAACGCCCAGTGAAATGTAGTGGGCAGTCACACTGAAATGAAGCTGAACCATCAGGAAGATCAATCGGATGGCAAGACCCGCCATTATGGCACAAATTCTCTTGGCAGACTGACAATAATGCAGGATGAGTGGGTGAGGGCAAAGCTGACTGAAGTACTTCAGACACTTCAGGAACTGTGCCAAAGATGGCTGCTGGTGTTTCTTCAGATTCATGGAACCTGCAGGATACAAAATATTTAACACATCTGAATGCCATCTTTTCTCACTTACATAACATGTTTCACTACACCAATGAAAACAATTTCTATTTATATAATAAACTAGCAGTAAAGCCCGTTGTGAAAGCAATACAATGAGATCTAGAAAATATAATAAACGCAGTGCTCTGGCTTTGGGCAAACAGTGTCAATTTGCTGTGGTGACCTCAGCAGGGTATAATGACAGAGTCCACTGTTTTCTCCAGAGGAACTGATCTCTGCTACCTGAAGAGCAGTTGTAATTGTGAGTGATCTGTAGCCCTCACCTGGAGATTGGCAGCAATTGTTACCCAGGACAAAGTGGCTGGTTTGGAGGGTGTAGTCTATGGCATTCTACCTGTCTGAGGTCCCACCCCTCTGCAAACCCCACCCTCTCCAGGCTCCACCCCTCAAATCCCCAGGAATTTGTCAGCATGTAGTTGGCAACCCCATCTCCTTCCCAGCTAACCATCAACCTACCATTATCTGCCCCTTTGACTTCAGCTGACTTCTGCCCTCCCTTCTGCAGAGCAGTTGTAATTCTGAGTGCTCTCCAGCCCTCACCTGGAGATTGGCAACAATGGTTCCCTATGTGGGACTGACTGGTTTGGAGGGTGGAGTCTATGGCAGTGTACCTGTCTGAGGTCCCACCCCTCCTCAAACCTCACCCTCTTCAGGCTCCATCCCTCAAATCTCCAGGAATTTCCCATCTGGAGTTGGCAACCCTATCAGGACTGGCCCCAATGTGTTTTCTCCCAAAGGCCAAAGTAGGTGACAGGACCAAGCTTAGTTGCCTACCAACAGGCACTGAGGGGAATGTAGGGTTGCCAGCTCTAAGGAGGGAAATACCTGGAGGTTTGGGGGGTGGATTCTGTAGAGGGCAGCATTGGGCGGGGGGGGGGCGGAAGGACTCAGCAGGTGTAATGTCATAGGGTCTACCCTCCAAAGCATCCATTTTCTCCAGGGGAACTGATCTCTGTCATCTGGAGATCAATTGTAACAGTGGGAGATCTCCAGGTCCCACCTGGAGATTGGCAACCCTAGGGGGAAGTCAGCTGCACAGCAGGGGGTTGAAGAGAATGGTTTGATGGCTGCTGGGCCAAGATTGGCAATAATAGTTCCCCAGGAGCCCCATCGTAAATGCACCAAACAATTCCTCAAGATTTTCCAAAACACTACTCTGTTGATAAATTGCAACACTTTGAATTAGCACCAAAGCTTTAAGATCTCTCCAGCTGTCACCTGGAGACTGGCAACAGCTTGTCTGGAGTGTGGGCAGTATGGCATTGTATCTGTCTGAGGTCCCCCTCTTCCTCCTCCTCCTCAGACCCCACCCTCAGCAGGCTTCAACCCTATGTCCTTTCCAGGCAACCATCAGCCAACCTTTATCTGCCTGTCTGTCTTAAGTTTTACATCCCCCCCCCCCCCGCCTCTGCCTAGGGAAAGGGCAGTCTTTCCCTGCAGTGGGAACCAAAGCAGCTGACATCATTCTCCTCTCCCCCGTATGATCCGCACAACTACCCTATGAGGTATGTTATGGTTGAAAGTGTGTGAATGGTCCATAGTCCCCCAGGCAGCTTTTAAAACATGAACCTGGGACCTGCACACCATCTGTGGCAGTAATGCGGTGCCTGCTGGCACCTTTTCCTATCATTTTTTGCCTTGAGGTATTCTGTTTGTGGTGTGATCTGTCTTCTTTGTGCTGTGGCGTGATTGTGTTATTGGGTTTGTTTCTTTTAAAGGGGAAGTGATGTGTTGTGAGTGAGGACATATGTTACCTCAGAATACAGTAGTTCCCATATGCAACTGAAAATTCCAACTGCTTTGCGGGGGGGGGGAGTTTGAGGTGTGGAATGGAGTGAAGTCCAATCAGCTTCCATATGCAAAAGACCTTGGAACGCTGGGCGGGACTGCACAAAGCAGCCAGTCAACCCAGCCAGTGTCTTCTGAGTGGCAGTTCTTCCGGCCAAACACTAAAGGCGGGCATTTTAGAATGTTGGTCCCCACTACTGCTTTATTATAAGGGAGAGATTATATAAAACAGAATAGCCCTATAAAGCAATAAAAATCTGAATAGCAACAAAAGAAAGAACTCTCCATATTCTCCAACCAAGAAAGAGTAACATGAGCAAATAGGTCAAGGACTATGTGAACAATTTTTACATTAATTTGCCTACCCAGGAACACAAGCCAGCCTGACATAGAACTCAGCTAATACAAGACTTTATGGCATGTTGGATGTACCCGCTGTTCATGTGATGCTCTGGCCAGACTTAAAGAAATCTTACTATTGTCCTGCTTGAACTGAGAATGTGAATGAGCAAATACTCCATTTCATCTCTAGTCCTGCATTTTAGTAAATGTTTGGAAATAGTGAGAAATATATTTTTCAAGCACTAGTATGACATAGTGGCTAGAGTGATGGAATAGAATCTGGGAGACTTAGGTTCAAATCCTCACTCTTCCACAGAAGTTTGCTGGGTAACCTTGGGCCAGTCACACTCTCTCAGCCTAATCTACCTCACAGGGTTGTTGTGAGGATAGAAAGAGAGGACAGGCTTTCCTCAGGGGGAATAAATAAATATGTACATAAGAGAAGCCAATGTTGAATGAGGCCAATGGACCATCCAGTCTAACACTCTGTCACACAGTGGCCAAAAATACCAGGTGCCATCAGGAGGTCCAACAGTAGGGCCAGGACACTAGAAGCCCTCCCACTGTTGCCCCCCTCAAGCACCAAGAATACAGTGCATCACTTGCCCCGGACTGAGAGTTCCTATCTATACCTCGTGGCTAATCGCCACTGATGGACTTCTGCTCTGTATGTTTATCCAGTTCCCTCTTGAAGCCATCCATGCTTGTAGCCGCCATCACCTCCTGTGGCAGTGAATTCCATGTGTTAATCACCCTTTGGGTGAAGAACTACTTCCTTTTATCTGTTCTAACCCAACAGCTCAGCAATTTCATTGAGTACCCATGAGTTCTTGTATTGTGAGAAAGGGAGAAAAGTACTTCTTTCTCGACCTGCTCTATCCCATGCATAATTTTATAAACTCTGAGAATTTTTGCTGTTTCCTTAAGACGTCTTCTTGCAATGATTGCCTCAGCTGGAATGTCAGGAAAAAGATACACAATTGTGTCCTCCAGTCTCAGTACCTGATTGTCTCTCGCGATTGCAAAAAGTTTATTCTTTGTCTGGACATGTTTAAATTCAATGATAATATCAGGGGAAGCATTTTCAGGAGCCTTTTTGGGGATATTTAGCCGGAAGGCAGAGCTGATGATATCTTCAGAAGACACTGCTTCTCCTGCTCCTAGAAGAATCTGAGTGAGCCATTTGTTTAAAGCTGCACCAAAGTTTACAGATACTCCACGGAGTTTAACCTTCTTTTCTCTCAGTTTTGTTTCCTGGAGTATGATTTTATTATTGGCCCATATCTCAAATTCCTTAAATTCTTTAATGTTATCTGCATTCTTTTTTGCCGATTGAAATGCTGATTCAGCTTTCCTCTCTGTCGTTTTCAATGCTGCAGTGAGCTCATCTAATTTCTTATTTATAGGCTCAACTGTTTGTTTGAGCAGCCCAAATTCATTTTTAACTGTCCAACCTCTCCACTCAGAGACTTTAAATCATTCTTGATTTCATTCCTTATCTCTGTTAAGGCATGCAATAACACAGTCTGTTTGCTTTGGTCAGGGTTACACCCCACTACCGCCATTTCCTCTAACAGAGACGCCTCTAGGTCTGAATCATCTGAGTGTTCAAGGTCAGTATTACTCTTTTTGGGAGGTCTATAAGGAGGATTTTTAGTACCTTTCTTTGCTTCCCATAGCTGGCATTGGTATTTGTTCCAAACTTGGCTGTATTTTCTGGAAACAGTCACACACAGTCTTGAAATTTTCATTGAGTTATTGACTATGAATCCAAGATCTCTCTCTTGGCCAGTCTCTGCCAGTTCAGACCCCCATCGGACCGAGTACTGATCCCTGCGGTACCCCACTGCTTAACACTCTCCACTGAGACTTTATACTCATTTATACTCACTCTCTGAATTTATACCCATTTATACTCACTCTCTGGTTCCTCTTAATTAGCCAGTTTTTGATCCACAAAAGGACTTGTCCTTTTATCCCATAACTATTGAGCTTACTTAGGAGCCTTTGATGAGGAACTTTATCAAAAGCTTTCTGGAAGTCAAGGTAAACAACATCTATTGGGTCCTCCTTGTCCATATGTTTGTTCACTTTCTCAAAGAACACTAACAGGATAGTGAGACAAGATGTTCCCTTACAGAACCCATGCTGAGTCTGCCTCAATAGTTTTTGTTCATCAATGTGCTTACTAATTCTTTCCTTAATAACAGTTTCCACCAACTTACCCAGTATCGGCATCAGACTGACTGGCCTTTAATTTCTCAGATCTCCTCTGGAACCCCTTTTAAAGATGGGAGTGACATTAGCTACCTTCCAGTCCTCAGGAATGGAGGCAGATTTTAAGAAAAGATTACATATTTTTGTCAGGAGATCCAGAAGTTCACATTTGAGTTCTTTCAGAACTCTTGAATGTATGCCATCTGGGAATTGTGATTTATCAGTTTTTAAGTTGTCTATCAGTTTTAGGACCTCTTCTCTCATCACCTCAATCTGACCAAGGTCTTTCAGTACCCCTCCTGAAATCAGCGGTTCTGGAGTGGGCAAGCACTTCTCATCTTCCACAGTGAAGAGAAACAGAGAACAAAAAAAGCATTTAGCTTCTCAGCCTATCATCCTTCAGTACTACTTGGTCATCCAAGGGCCCCACTGCCTCCCTGGCTGGTTTCCTGCTCCTAATGTATTTGATGAAAGTTTTATTGTTGGTCTTTATGTCTTTTGCTATATGCTCCTCACATTCCCTTTTTGCCTGCCTGATCACAGACTTGCATTTTATCTGCCACAGCCTGTGTTCCCTTTTTATCAACCTCACTGAGACTAGCTTTCCACTGCTTAAAGGAATCCTTCTTACCTTTTACAGCTTCCATTACTTTGTTTGTTAACCATGCAGGCTTTTTCTATACCTATTTGTGCCTTTTCTTACCTGTGGTATATATTTTTTTCTGAGTTTCTAGGATTGTAGTTTTAAATAGTCTCCAAGCTTCCCCAATGGTTTTGACCCTTTCTGCTTTTTCTTTCAGTTTCCTCCTCACATGTCCCCTCATATCAGCGAAGTTACCCCTTTTAAAGTTAAAAGTGGTTGTGTCAGTCTTTTTGGGCAACTCCCTATTTATACAAATGTTGAACTCAATAACATTATGGTTGATGTTCCCAAGTGGTGCAATCATTTTTACATCTTTCACCAGGTCTTGGGCTTTACTTAGGACCAAATCCAGGATCGGCTTCCCCCTGGTAGGTTCTGTGACCATCTGTTCCATAGCACAGTCATTGAGAGTGTCTAGAAACTCAATCTTTTTTTCCTGACTTGAACAAATATTGACCCAATCAATGTGTGGGTAGTTAAAATCACCTATTATGACACAGTTATTTTGTGTAGCCACTATCTTTAATTCATTCATCATTTTATAATCCTCCTCTATCTTTTGATCTGGTGGGCGATAACAACGTCCCAGTGTTAAGCTTCCGTTTGGGCCCACTATTTCAACCCATATTTCTACCACATCATGAACCTGACCTTCCTCCAATACACATCTGCCTGGAAAAAACTTTTTACTTTTAAAGGCATTTTTGCCCAAAAGGATTTTCTCTGTTTTTGCATATTTTAAAATGGTTTGGGGGACCTGAGATTCTGGCTTGGGGTGTGGGTGGATTTTCTGCTTTCCTGGTAAGTGTTTAAACACCCCCTTGCTGAATGCTTAACTTCCAGAAGGAGCTTGTATGTAACTGCTTAAACTGTGTTTTTGTAAAAAGCTGATTGCTTTTGAAGGGGCTGTGGGGGGGGGGACTCTCCACTCTGAACCAAATATACTGCCCCTTTAAACTAGCTGGAGATTTTCCAGTGCAAATGCTCTCTCTCTCTCTCTGCTAATGGGGCATTTGCTCTGCTATTATACCAAACCCACAGTGGAACAGAAATTCCCATCTACATTGCATGCCACTTTCACTTTGATTGAGTGCCACATTTTATGGCAGACTGCATGTTGCTTTCACTTTGTTTGATCTCTGGTTTTATTGTCTGCATAGATTTATGGTTGTTTTATGGCCATTGGGGGTGACTCTGCAGTCAGTACGGTGTTGGCCCAGAGTAGTTGAATGCGGTTTTGAACTGCATCTTTTTCTGTTCCAGTGTGGGTTTGGTAAAACAACTGAGCAAATGCTAAATGCAGATTGGGCCTAAGACTACCTGCCTGCTTTGCTCTATTCCTTGTAAAATGGGGCTCCCTAGTCTGTCAGGGAAACAGCTGCTTTGGAAGGGTCTGTGCAGTCAGTCAGTCAGTCAGTCTCTCTCTCTCTCTCTCTCTCTGGACATCTCCGGAAATTGTTGTTTTGTTCTGGGGCTTGCTGGCGAGGTGCTGCCTTAAATAGAAGCCTCCCCCAGCAGAGGGCGTGGCCAGCAGCTATTCAAATTCACCCAGGCACTTAATTACAGTCGAACAATGACCCTTTCTCATACACGTATACCATGAATGATCTTCTAACTGAGCAACCTGATAGGTTTATAAGAAATCTCAGCCCCCCCCCCGAACACAGTTGAAAATCTCTGATAGATGCAACTAGATTTTTTCTACTACATATCTCCATCATTTGCAAAAGCTTCAAAACTTGATTTGCATCTTCTAATATAAACAAGGAAGCTTGATTTCACTGATCAACTGTAAATTCAAGAAGACAGATGATCAAACCATTCTGATAATCAAATATGTAAAAAGCCTCCTGTTAGAAAACCAGGTTAAGGGCTAATACAATAAAAGCCATAAAGTGCTTCATGAAGCAGCTGTCACTATGAGCAAGGCATTTCTGAGCACTCTATGTGGATTTGGTTATTTTTATCTCCATCACCTCAGGAGAGGTGGTTTCAGAGAATGCTAAGGTCCAATTAGAAGTTTTCCCTAAATTGTCCACTACACCCATGGTCCTAGCCTTGACATAGTTCTCCCCATTGTGAGGTCTTTCCAAAGCCAAACAGAATGCAAACCAATGTTTTTGTTTGAGCTGTGGAAGAATCTTTAAAGGGTCACATCCATTTAACTGGCTTGTTATGTACATACATAAGTGCCATCAAATCACAACTTACTTATGACAACCTCAGCAAGGGACTTTCAAGGTAAGTGAAAAACAGAGATAGTTTGCCATTAGGGATGGGCATAAACTGGGAAAAGTTCATGGCATGCCTGGTTCAAAAGTCATGAACTTTTAGCTGCCAAATGAATGGGTTTAGTTTGTGAGGTTCATGATGTGGTAGAACGATCCCCCCCCCCAGTGTGCTAGAGACTCCAAACTTGCAAGGGATCTCCAACTGATTTTTCTCTACTTGCCCTCCAAGTTTGGTGAGGATTAGATTTCAGGGTCCTAGTTATGCCCCCACAAAGTAGGTGCCCCCAGGAAAGTACTTTCTGTGGAAATGACAGTCACAGTTTCAGAAGGTTCAGGAGTGTATAGAATGGGCACTGTGCAAGCTAGAGACATCAAACTTAGAGGGGACCTCCCCGTGATGCTTCTCTACATACTCTCCAAGATGTGTTGATTTCACTTAGAGGATCCAAGTTATGCCCCCCAAGAAGTTACCTTCAGGAACTTCAGTTCGCAAACCATGAATCACCCAAAATTCATCATGAACTTTAGTTCATAAGCTGGTTTGTGCCCATTCCTATTTGCCATTCCCTTACTCTTCAGAATCCTCATTGGTGGTCTCCCATCCAAGTACTGACCCTGCTTAGCTTCTGAGATCAGGATATACCATGCCACTTTACCTCCCTGACTGGCTCAATACAGATGTTTGCATATTTTAAGTTTCCTTTATTCCATTAAGCTATATTTTGTGGTGATCAGAGTGTGTGATAATCACCTACAGAACTCACACTCTGTGGTCTTAGGTTTTCAGCATTATTTTAAATTTCCAACTTTCCCATTAATTCCTTGGGAATCATCAGGATTTTCTTTACTAGCTGCCTCAGGATTTCCATGAAATATGAAATAACTAAATAAATGGTAAAGACAGGTTTGCTGTGTTTATCAGATTCACAGTGCAAGCATTTTTGTGCATGAAAAATAATATGTGGTTGATTGAGGACATTATAACAAACACCACGTGGGATAGCTCACACAAAATACAATAGCTCTGAGCTGGCCTTATCGAAGCAAAACACATGGAACTGTTGTATAAAGCCAGATGGTATTCAGGAGATTCAGGCCTTGAATAATGCTGCACAGTAAAAAACAACAACAACAACAAAACATATTCATCATTTATTTTTATTAAAGACAGGGGGTATTACTTCCATTTTGTGATATGAGGTTTTGTTACTCTTTGGAGAAAAGTTTTGTTTACTAGAGTCAGAGGTTATTTCGCACATCTTGAACTTTTATTAGGGAGTTTAAAAATGTGTTATACAGCTCTTATATAAAGATATATGGAAATGGTCACATTTGTTTTAAAACTTTGTACAATTCTTGTCTGACAAACACTCAGACTGGCTTATGTTCCAGAAGTCGTAATATAATTTTAAAAAAACCCCAAGACTACCAGTGATATAGAAACAACAGCCATCTCAAATGTCTATCCAGCTAAAATCAAGTGTCATCATAGGCAAGTTCTTACTGTTCATATTAAGTCATAGATGCTGCCAGGCAAATTACCTCAGTAAGCAGGGAACTACACAATTCTCTGCCCATGCTGTTACTGGCCTTGAATGAAATAATGTGTACCAAGCTCCTTTCTGGGAGACTTGGATGACAAAGATTTTGTAGGTTAACATTAACAATTTAAATAGTATCCAGCAGCAAACTGACAACTAGAGATGGTCACAAAATGGCTCACAAACTAATGTTTGTGACGAATTTTGGCTGGTTCATGGTTTATAAACTCAAGTTCTTGGCAGGTCAACCGGCATGAACTTTCCAAGAACTTTCAAGCAGTTTGTGGTGGTTTGTGCCAGTTTGTGAATGGCTACATTTCCAAACACCCTGTCTCCACTCAATCTAAAGATTTACCAAACCTCAAAGCAACCGGTGTGGGGGAGATTTGGATGGCATGTAGAGGAGCATCCAGGGAATGTTCCCTGTGACTTTGATGTATCTAGGTTGTACAGGATCCATTCTATAGACTCATGAACCTCTTGAGCCTGCACCTATCTAAATGACCATCTGTCATGTCCTCAGAAATCACTTTCCAGGTGCACCTTCTTGGGGGGGGGGGCATGATTCAGACCCCTTAAATTCAATCCTCACGAAATTTGGAGGGCAGGTAGAGTCACCTGGAGATTCCTTGCAGGTTTGGTGTCTCTGGCATGCTAAGGGGGGCATTCTACTACATCATGAACTGAACCAGTTCATTTGATGCCTAAAAGTTGGTCACAATTTGTGGTTCACAAATTGGGCATGACACGAACCATGAACTGAACCACATTTTCCCCAGTTCATCCACATCCCTACTGGCAATCAGTGCAAATAGGTATGAATTATATGACTTCTGTAAGTGCCTAAGAGAAGATGGGTGTCTGCTTTTTGTACTAACTGAAGCCTCCAAAATGATTTCAAGGGAATCACAGTAGTCAGTCTTAAGGCTAAAACAAAGTCTGTTTCTTCCAGGAAGGCATAATCAGCTTACCAGATATATAGTTTGAAAATAGGCACTCCTGGCCATGGCTAACACATGGGAATTCAGGGACAACTCTAGTTCTAGGAGGATCCCTAGACTATGTAACTGATCAAACTGAACAAGAGCAACCATCTTCTTCTTATCAGGATAAACTTTCAATTTCTCCATTCTACCACAAAAGACGTAACAGAATTGTTAGAGAAAGCAGAATTCTGGGCTTGATTAAGTGCATTGATTCACTTCTGACTTCCAGCTAAGGTCCACTGCTGTGAATGTCTTTCAGAAGAATTGTGCCCAACTGTTCATGTGTCACTATCCAGCATTTGTTCCAGACTCCTTTTTCTTTAGTGCTTAATCATGGAGACAATGCTTTCATGAGCTCATTAATGGAGCAAACAGCATTCAGAATTCATTCCAACTGCTATGAATAAGTCAATAATCATGATTCAAAACTGTTTACCTAAAATGTTTATTTGAATAAAGAACTGGGAGATATTTAAATGTCATATAGTAAATGAGGTGTTGAAAGCTTGAAGAATTCATAGTAAAAATACAAAGCTTGTTTTGCCTTAGCAAGGTTAGGAAATGTTCAGCAATGAACAGTGATCATTTTTCCTATTCTTTTTACTTTGCTCTTCTGTTATTATGCACTTCTGCAATGCAGAAACAGAAACCAGAAACTAAACATTAAACTAGAATCCTATGCACACTTACATTGGAATAATACATATTGAACTTGGGTAGACCTTGAGTGTGAGTAAACATACATAAAGTTGGGATGAAACCAATTTATAGCTTGTTGCAGATGAAGTTTTAGTTTGGGGGAAGTTCAGTGATGAGCTTGAAATGTAATAAGGTTGAGACCACATTTGTATTCAATACTGTTCTGTACTCATAGAGAATGTACATGCACTTGGGCTTGCACGTGGTCAGGAGCACAAGCGCAGCTTTAGGTTCCAACACAATAGCGGGTGAGGATCCTAGGATGGACCTATCGGCCACCTCGGATCCTGCACCTGACCTCGGCCCGGGAAGTTTGTCTTGTGTTTTTCCAATAAATTATGAGCTGATCATTTACATGGATCTGAACTCAGTATATTATACTGGCGACGAGGATGGGATCCTGATGAGCGAGCCTGACCTGGCAACTGACCCAGTGCCGCAACATGAGTTCTTGGACTCTGCGAACAGCACTGCACCATGCACAGCTCCCCGCACCTCACACCGCTCCTCCTCGGGTCATGGCTGCCGCTCTAAGACAGAGCGCTGCTTTCGACCCGGCTCATCCCAAGCTCTGGGAAGCATGGGTCGAACAACTGAAATATTTCCTCCACTTCCAGGATGTCGTGGAGGTGGAAAAGAAGAAATCACTCCTGCTCAGCACATGAGGCATCTCCATGCTTCGTCTGGTACAGGGCCTCATCACACCCAAATCACTAGAGGAATACACATACGAGCAGCTCATCAAGTTCCTAACAGAACATTTTGCACCACAACCTACCAAAATAGCAATGAGCATGGACTTCTTTGCACAGACACAGCAGGCCAGTGAAGCTCACACTGACTTTGTGGCCCAACTGCGATGGCTAGCTATCCATTGCGGGTTCCCTGACCTCAAGGACGCCCTCTTAAACCAATTTGTATGGGGCGTCCGAGAGCAAAACCTCTGCCAAAAACTCATCAGCCAGGAAGAACTCACATTAGACAAAACCCTCCATGTGGCCACAGCGTTCACCAAATCACAGCAGGATTGCCTGGCTCACAGCACACATCAGGCCTTCACGTCCCCGGCCTCCGAGGGTTCGGATGATGATGAAGTGTTCCAGTTCTGCTGCCACTTGCCAAAAACCCAGTCCACCATCCGCTACTCCACTTTTGATAAGGTCAAGCACCCAAGCGTCCATGAGGAACAACACCCATGCAGCCTGCGCCAGCTGCGGGGAGGACCACGACCATCGCTTCTGCCATTTTCGGGATGCAATCTGCCGGACCTGCAACAAATCTAGACACATCGCCAATGTCTGCCATTCCAGAGGGACATGACACCATCCGACCATGCACCAAGAATCCACAGAGCTCCATATGACGGCTGTTTGCCACCACCAGGTACTGAACTTTCCCCATTACATCCCAGATAAGATTAAAGTAACAGTTGTGAAATGGAACTGGGCACAGGCTCCTCCGTATCTATAATTTCTGCAGAGACACAAAGGGAGCGGTTGCTGAGCCCCTGCACCGTCTACTCAACAAAAGAGCACCTTGGGTTTGGGGTCCAAAACACGCCTCTGCGTTCCAGGCTGTCAAGGACCTGCTTGTCTCAAATGCAGTCCTGACACACTTTGATGAGTCTCTTCCAGTCATCCTTGCGTGTGATGCTTCCCCATATGGGGTTGGGGCAGTCCTCAACCACTAGCTGCTGGATGGCCACGAGGTTCCTGTCATCTATTACTCCCAGACTCTCTCTTCAGCTGAGCGCAACTACGCTCAAATTGACAAGGAGGCCTTGGCAATTGTGGCTGGTGTAAAAAAGTTCCATGATTACCTCTATGGCCAGCCCTTCACCATCATCATGGACCATATACCCCTCTTGAGCCTGCTCGCTCTGGACCGCCAGACTCCTCAGATGTTGTCCCCGAGGGTACTCTGCTGGTCCATCTTCCTAGCCGGGGACCAGTATGTGCTCCTCCACCACCCCGGAAAAGCAATGGGCTACACAGACGCTCTTAGCAGCCTTCCCCTGCCTTCCTGTGACCCAGACCCGGCTCCCACCCATCAGATCCTGATGCTCAAGGAGCTGCCCGACAACCCTGTCCAGGTCTCCAAGGTGGCCTCCCACACAGCTCGGGATCGCCTGCTTTCCCGTGTCTTGAGCTGGGTAGGGAGGGGGTGGCCCACCAGCTGATTGGGCCCGGAAATTGCGGCGTTCTCCTCCTGCCAAGATGAACTGTCTGCCCATAAGGGTTGTTTGTTGTGGGGAAGCCGGGTGATAGTTCCCACCCCACTGTGGTGGCGGGTACTAGCAGCCCTACACAAGATGCACCCTGGCATCGTCAGGATGAAAGCACTTGCACGAAGTCAAGTATGGTGGCCTGGCATGGATGGTGAGATTGAGGACTGCATTAAGTGTTGTCAGACATGTCAGGAATCATGACCAGAGCTGAGCCACCTAGCCACGGCTTGTAAAGCCCGGTGCAGATCTTCTGGGTCGGAGTCCGACTGGCCAGCCAACATCAAATAGAGCTGGGTGTCATCTGCATATTGATGACACCCCAGCCCATAAATAAGATCTGCCCCTGGAACGGACCCACGAAGTCTAAGTGTAACCGGGCCCATGGCTTGTGTGAGGACTCCCAAGGCCTGACTGAGGCCCCGGGCAGCTCTGGTCATGATTCCTGACCGTCTTCGCCGGTCCTGTGCTTGAGTCGAACCGGATCGGGGCTAGGGCTCCTGCTCCCGATCTTCGATGGGGCACCTTTGGTGCCAGCTTCAGAGGTTAGGAGTTTGGGAGTGCTTCTGGACTCTACCTTAAGGATGGAGGCCCAGGTGGCGGCCACTGCCAGATCGGCCTTTTATCATCTCCGGCTGATACGGCAGTTGGTTCCTTTCCTTGACCGCAATGACCTAGCTACAGTGATCCATGTGACGGTCATCTTGAGGTTAGATACTGTAATGCTCTCTACATGGGGCTGCCTTTGTCACAAATCTGGAAGCTACAGCTGGTGCAGAATGCTGCAGCCAGGTTGTTGGTGGCGTCCCTAGCTGGGAGCACACCCGACCTGTACTGAAAGCGCTGCACTGCTGCCTATTGCATGCTGGATTCGCTTCAAGTGCTGATGCTTACCTTTAAAGCCCTACATGGCCAGGGTCCGACATACCTGAGGGACCACATTTTCCCATATATTCCCCAAAGAGCACTTCGATCAGGGTCACAACACCGGCTGGTGACCCCGGGCCCTAAGGAGGCCAAGCTTGTGGCAAAAAGGGCCAGGTCCTTTTCAGTGGCGGTTCCTACCTGGTGGAATGAGCTCCCGGAGGAGATCACGGCCCTGTGGGACCTTGTGCAGTTCCGCAGGGCCTGCAAGATGGAGCTCTTCCACCAGGCTTACGAGTAGGAGCCACCACGGCCACTTCCACACTGCCCCTTTATAGAGAGATACCGCCGGAGGGCTGGGCAACATCTTTCCATGACCCTAGCCTTCCCCTCTGCTATGCAAGATGTTAGGAGTTTTATATGTGCATCCGTCGAAACCGATTTTTAATTGTTTTAACTTTTGTATACTGTATGCACTCTGTGTCTTATGTGAGCCGCCCTGAGCCCGTTCGCGGGGAGGGCGGGGTATAAATGCAATAAAATAAATAAATAAATAAATAAATAAATAAATCCTCATTGATTCATTCACCACATGGCTCGAGGTAGTGCCTGTCCCCTCCACTTTGTCCCGCACCGCAATCCGCGCCCTATGACAGATTTTCAGTACACATGGTCTGCCGGACACCTTAGTTACAGACAATGGAACTGCCTTTACATCTGCAGAGTTCCAGTAGCTCACTAGGTACTATGCTATCAGACACGTCTGTTCCACTCCATTCCACCCCACAATGAATGGCCAGGCTGAGTGCATGGTGAGGACAACCAAGGAGTCCCTGCACAGGCTAGCCCTGGGGGACTGGGAATACCAACTGGCTGCCTTCCTCTTTGGTCAAAGGATGACCCCACACTCTAGCATCGGCCGCTGTCCAGCTGAACTACTCATGGGCTGACGACTCACCAACCGCTTCAACCGTTTGCACCTTGACTGCATGCCGGAGCACAGCACAGCCCCAGCTACTGAGGAAGCTCCCCGTGGTTTCTACCTGGGTGACCCCATTTTCACTCATAACTATGCACGAGGCTCAGCATGAGTCCTGGCCAGGGTGACCCAGATGACCGGTCCCCTGTTTTACGAAGTGTCAATGGAAGATGGCGAATTACTCCACCGCCACATCGATCAGCTCTGCAGCAGGCTCTTCCCAACAGAATAGTACACGGCAGAGGACAGCGAGGACAGGACACCGAGCCCGGGCCCATGCGACAATGAGGAAAGCATGCCCAGCGCTCAAGCCCAAACTGGACCGAGCGCACCTACAGTAGAGAGTGCTGCTACCCCCCCCCCCCCGACCCAGCAGAAACACCCAGGCAAGGAAGTGAGCCAGTGCCTACATCCAGTCCTGGGCTCCTCGCAGGCCTACCAGAAACACTTGAATCGATGGCCCAGCCTGAGGGCCCATGCTGCTCCATTCGGGAATGGCGGAGGCCAGAGTATTTGAAGGACTTTGTGTGCCAGGGGAATCTGAACCATGGGGGGAAAGGTGTTGTGTACTCATAGAGAATGTACATGCGCTTGGGCTTGCACGTGGTCAGGAGCACAAGCGCAGCTTCAGGTTCCAACATAATAGCGGGCAAGGATCCTAGGACAGACCTATCAGCCACCTCGGATCCCGCACCCGACTTATGGAGATTAATCAGCATGTAAATAGCCTATCACGGGAGGTGGTGTGTGTGTCTGTGTGGTGTGTTTTGGAGATATAAGCAGGGCTTCGGCCCAGGAAGTTTGTCTTGTGTTTTTCGAATAAATTATGAGCTGATCACTTATACGCATCTGAACCCAGTATATTATAAATACTATAAGAACAAAAGACATGAACTTCATACTATGGGATTCCCTGCCAAGCCAGTTCAGTCAAGGTAATATAACACTCCTACTAAGTTATATTCACAGCCTAATCCCCTAAAGAGAAAACAAAGAAGGAAGTGGGGAAATCTAGGCCAGTGAAACTCTGGATATAGACATTCCCAGTGGCCAAGGTGACAGGCAAAGTACCCCATATTAATGTGATCTCTTATTTGTTATCTAACTGTTTAACTGTCCTTCTGTCCTTTCTTTGCCACAAGGAAAGGCCTTGTGACATCTAACAAGTTGCCTAAAGTTTGCAGAATTGGACACAGATAACCATCAAATTAAAAAATGCTAATCCAATAACCAAGTACCATTGATAGCCTTCTGCTGAAACTGTCCTGAACAGGCTTGGCAGGCCTGCTACTATAGTGGGAGACATCCTTGCAAACTTTGATGCTGCCTGCCTGCACGTGAAAGTGCAGCAGGGGGAAATTGCAGCAAGTTGTGTGTGTGTGTGTGTGTGTGTGTGTGCATGCAACATCACTTCCGGGGGGAAACAGGAAAGTCATGTCATAGAATGCTTATTTATTTAATTTATTTATTTTTGAACTTTTTATTTATTTTTTCACATATTATATTCATACATATACTGCTTAAGATATACATATACATGTACTTCTAACATTTGTGAGTCTATTATTTACTGTTTTCTTTTATCCATTTATATACCCTATACCATTTTTCCTGAAATATTTTATCATCTTTTCCTTGTAATATTACATTCAATTTGTCCATTTCTGCCACCTCCAACAGTTTCATAGCAATTTCTTCTCTCTTTGGTATCTTTTCTTGTTTCCAATGTTTTGCTATTAGTATTCTGGCTCTTGTGAGAATATAAGTCAGTAAGTATCGGTCATTTTCTTGGTGTTCATTTGGAATTATATTTAACAAATAGATCTCAGGACATGGTTTTAAATTAATCTCTAAGATTTCCATTATTATATTATTTACAGTTTGCCAAAATTTCCCTATTTTCCCGCATCTCTACCACATGTGGAAAAAAGTACCCACATTGGTTTTACATCTCCAGCAATTTTCACTTGATTTTTTGTATGCTTTCGCTATTTTTTCCGGGGTACAGTACCATCTGTGGAATAGTTTAAATATGTTTTCTTTAAAGCAATGGTTCTCAACCTTCCTAATGCCGCGACCCTTTAATACAGTTGCAACCATCTTCTTCTTATCAGGATAAACTTTCAATTTCTCCATTCTACCACAAAAGACGTAACAGAATTGTTAGAGAAAGCAGAATTCTGGGCTTGATTAAGTGCATTGATTCACTTCTGACTTCCAGC